TCTATATATATATATATATATTTCTCTCTCGAACTGACGATCATCGATCGCGAGGGGAGCGCGAGATCGGTTAAATTTGGAGATGGAGAACGGGCGCGAGCGTGGAAAAAGGGGGCGATTCTCTCTCTCTCTCGTCTCGAAAACAGGAGAGAAGGGAAGGAACCAGCATCCTCTCGCTAAGAGCTAAAGATTAAAGACCGGGCAAGTACGCCCCCACCGGAATGATGGATGCGATCCCGTGGAGGAGACGAGGGCGCCGCTGCTCCTCGAGTAGGTGGAGACTTCCATTTTCATTCCTAACGCTTGTTCCTTGTCTCCCTACCGTACCTATTTCGCGTTCGCTCGCGTCTCCGCGCTTTAATCGGCGATAGCGCAGGCTCGAGCCTCCTTGCCCCCCTTTTCTCGAGATCCCTCTCTCTCTCTCTCTCTCTCTCGAGGCGGAACAACCCCTGCGCGGAATCCTCCATGCTTCGAGAAGAGCGAAAGGATCCGTGTCGCGAAAAACAACCCGGTCTAAAAAATTTTTTTTTCTTTTTTGCTCTTCTCGAGAGGAGGAAACGAACGAGGAAACGTCGAGGAGAAGGAGAAGGAGACAAAATGAAAAATGTTGGAAGCAAAAAGAATCCGTTTTCGTCATTTCTTCGGTTTTGGAGTATCCTTAATAATTGCGCCCCCTCTTCGCATCCCTTTCCTATTCCTCCCTTTTCGCCTTTATAATATTCTCTCCTCTTCCTTCTTTCTCTTCTTCCCTTTTTCAATCACCTACTCTCCTATTCCTTTCGTATTTCCACGATCAATCGTCCTTCCTTCGACGACGGGGAAAGACCGACTGTCAACCGAGGCGGTCATTCGAGAACGGTCAGTAATTATATCCCGCGCGTGTAAAAAATAATAATTAACTCCTATTGCCGCGTCAATTAACCTCCCTCCCCGCGATAAATGCCTTCTTCCCATCCTTTTTTCTTTATCCTCCGCGCGAATGTTTGCCGTTTGTAATTACACGTTCGATTATTCGATTAATTCCTCGCAATTCCACCCATAAAGATAAAGATCAATTTACACGCCCGGAACATTCAATTACAATCGATCGAAGGAAAAAAAAAAAAAAGAACTGAAGAGAGAGAGAGGGAGAGAAAATGATTATTATCGCGACAAATGTTAACCGATTCGAGCTCGAGCTTCCATCTCTGCTCGAAAGAAGATAAAGAAGATCGGGAGAACAAACGCTATTATAACTATTATCCTTGCCCACCCCCTCACCAAGACGCACTCATCGATCGTGGTCAACGAGACGAAACCGATTTCTTTTCGATCGATCGAAACACGATCGATAACGCGAGGGCAAAGAGGAAACTGAACGGTGATAAATACATACATAAACACATATATATATATATATATATACACATATAAGTACTTGCCTGACGCACCTGTTTGAACTGCTCTTCGAAGCTCCAACTGGTCTGTTGCTGATGATTCGCTCCCGTCGTATTACTCTGCGACTGACTGTTGGTCTCGCGAGGCTCGCCACCGTTCCTAGCGCTCCCCTGTGAAGACTCGCTAGAATGCGAGCTAGCCGACGACGTCACTTGATTTCCAACCCCGCTCCCGATACTACCACCACCAGATTGCGCGTGACTGTTTTGCGAGTGATGTTGGGGCGTCAGAAACGCGGGCGGTGGAAACGAGAATGGTAGATTGAAACCACTTCCGCCCATTGCCGCTTGCAACGCTTCTAAACCGCTCTTGTTGTTCAAAGCGTCCATATCGGTGGGCTGTGGGAAATCCATTTCGATTTAGCAGACCGATTCTCTTCCCCGCCTCTCCTGCCCTCCTCTACGCGGGAGGAGGAAAGAAAGCGAGGAAAGAAATTTTGCATCTTTTTTTCTTTTCTCTCTCGCCGACGAAGATAAAAAGAATCGACGACTCTTGATCGAAGATTTTCTTTTCTATCGCGAAGAGAATAAGGAGAGGGGAGGGGCGGCAAAGGGAAGAAACAGAGTTGGTCGAAAAAATTAAAAATTAAAAATTCGCGGCTTTCTTTTTCGGGGAAACGAGACGAAAAAAGAAGAGAAGAGAAAAGAAAAGAAAAGAAAAAGAACGTCGATTTCCAACTGACCTCCATCTTCAATTTTGCCAGAAAGTGCGGATGATGTGCACCCATCAGACTGTTCAAGTGTGTTAATGGAGTAGGTGTACCAGCCTGCGCGGATGCACTATCCGTCGAGGAGTGCGTGTTACCTTGAAGTGGCTGCTGAGGTAACTCCTCGCCGCTCTCTTCATCCTGAAGATCCGGATCCGACAGATCCTCTTCCTGATGAGACTGAAAACAGATACGACAGATACGTTGAACCACATGCGTGTTCGGATCGTTGCGTTGCTAATACCCTGTTTCTTTTTCACCCCCTCCCCTCCCTTAATAATAATCGAATAACAGATCGATATTTGACTTTTCGATCGAGTTTTCGAAAAGCGACTCGAAAAGAAGAGGAAAAAACGAGCTCGAGATCGCGATAATGGATCGTCGGACTCGTGGGCGAAGAGCAAGGGGGGGGGGGGAGGGGGGGGAAACGGAAAGCTCATTAAGATTAAGAACTGGTGGTAAACTGCCTTTAATTTCTGTTTTTATCTTAAGTAACAGCTACGCAAATTTTAACCTGATTCCACGACGTGATCGTGTCAAAGATGGAAGACGTTGGCACGACGACCATTAGGCCTGGCCAGCGGCGGCGGTATGAATGGTCGAACGGTTTTGTGCAGCGGCGGAGGTAAGGAGGGCAAGATATCGGGTGCATTAAACATTAATTAGGAAAATGGCGAACGCGCCGCCTTCTATACCCAGGCCAGATACCCGCTATCGGCCATTATTATGCTACGGGTGTCATAAGTGTTTTACGACTGTGCCCGTTGCACCGGTGTGCCGAGATAAAACTATACAAAGTGACATTACCGTGAACGGAAATGAGCATCGTAAAACGCGTGGAAAAAAGAGAGAGAGAGAGAGAGAGGGAGAGAGAAGGATGTTCCCGCGTAGTCGTTGGCCGCGGTTGGATCGGTTTTCCGTCCTATCCGATCGTCGCGCCAATAACTAAGAAAACGGCCACGAACGTAATCGTCCCCCGAATCGTCGAACTCGACTCGTTTTCGTTCGTTCCTCTTTCTACTACTACTTTTTACAAAGGAAACGACCGCGATTCCTTTCCGACTATCGTATCCTCGAACTATCGTCCCTCCCCGGCACGGAATCGGCGTTATCGCCGCGCCACTGACAATTCCTTTCTCACGATCGTATCGTAACGAGCGTCGCTCAGTCGTTGCCACTTTCTGCGTAAATTATATATATATATATATATATACGGTCACACGATTGTTGCGAGCGATAACAATTCGATATTCGATTATAATATTTTTCATTATTGAAAAATATGAAAAATTATCTCGGGTGATATGGAAATTTCGTTCGAAAAAATGTCGAGTCTCCGTGGAAAGAGTGTGTACGTACTTTTCCAGGGGGGGATCGGAAGGGAGGAAAAGAGGATTGGAGGGGGGCGTGCGCCATCGTCGAGGCGGATGCAAATAGATTCATCGAATCTTCGAGCGTGTATTCAAATAGGTTTGCCGGCCGGTTTCTCTACCTGAAAAGGGCGGACTTGGATAAATATATGCTTATCGAGCGCGGGTGGCGATCACCGATCCGAAACGAAATTGTGCGATCGAGGAGGAGGAGGAGGAGGAGGAAACGGTTCCTCTGTCGGTGATTTTGTGTCACGTGTGATAATATTGACCCTTTCGAGGCGGGTCACCGAGACGAGGTGGTCCACTCGATGGAATCCTAATCAAATACGAGACGATCGTTCGAATTTTTCTTTCCTCTCTCGATATGGAGTTTATCGGTCGCGCGATCGAGAAAAAAAAAAAAAAAAGAAGAGAAAGGAAAAAGAACTCGATAAACACAAGGGGGAGAGGACAAGGCGCTCCTCGTGCGCTTCTGACACATTGTGCTTAACGTATGCAGAAAACCTGTCACTGCCAGGAGGTCTCTTTATAGATAAAACTCCGTGAAAGTTTCACGGATATCGTGGGATATCGGTAGCGCGAAATAAGTAGGTACGTAATAGAAAGTCGTGTCGGGGAAAAGTGGGAAGCGTGAAAACGAGACGGAGCTGGCTGGTATTCGCTGGCATTCGGTATTCGCCTCGAAAATTATATCATTGAAAGGGGGCGCAAGAGGTGGTGGCATCATTATCGTTAATCGCACAGGCGTTTAGGACGCTCTATTGTTCTAACCGGTCGTGGCGCGCGTAGGTGTCCGATACTCGAATTCTCGAGGGATAATAGATGGAAGAAAAGAAAAAAAAGAAATTGGAAGAAGTCGTAACGGTGGGGAAGAGGGATACGATATTTTGGATTTTCCATAGTGAAATAAATGCTGCGATAAATGAGTAAGTTTCTCTTCTTAATCTTCTTCTTTTTAAGGAGGACGAAGCGAATACTCGGAACGGGAAGTCGTTCCGCCTTGGTTTCGCCAGAAAACCATCTTTAAGAGGAACAAACAGAGTATATATTCGAGTATTTCCCCTCCCTCCCTTCCTCGCCCGGCCGCGATAATAACTCAAGATGAACCGAATAAATCAATAGAGAGCGCGGCGAGAGTGGGTCCTGCGGCTTAAGCCGGGCAAACCTTTGGGTAAAACTGTTACCCCGAGCAAACAAGTGGGCGCGGCCTGCGCCCGTACTCCTCTCTCTCCCACGCCTCTGTCACCTTGTGCGCGTCTCTTACCTGCGCGCGTGTGGGTGATGATCGTGTCCCTGCATAATTCGTAGCTGTCGCCTACCGAAAACGCGCCGATCCTTTCCCTTTCACGAACACCACAGGCTGAAATCGAGATATAATATCGAGGGGAATCGTCGTCCTCCTTTTATTCCAAGCCAAATCGATTTTTCTATTCTCGATCTTCGAAATTACGATTCAACGATTCTCTCTCTCTCTCCTTCATCGCGAAAACGAGGCGCGAATTAATTCTCGAAAAAGGAAAGAATAGTTTATCCGCTTAGAAATAAGGAGGGAGGATCTTCGAAAGAAAATGTTGTCGTGATTTCAAAAATTTGACGACTTTATCGATGGCGGTATATGACACTTACCAAAAACTGGCGCGTTTGTTTAACGCGTCACGTTACGCGCCAACAAAGTTCTCGACCCTCGTTGCTTCATGAAGACGTTTTAACGAGATTTAATATATCCTAGCCACGACAATAGCTAAATTTACCGGAGGCCGGCCAGCGACGCGTTATCCCTTACGAGCCACGGCAGATAACCGAGTCCGCGCCGTGATTTATCGCCGCGCCGCCGTTCTCTCTCCACGATTGTTTTATTGTTTATACCTTACAGTTTGCACGCTTCGCGGGTGTACCCGCGTGTCCCGTGGCAACAAAGGACGCGCTCATGCGCGCGCAAGGATCTCGGACACACGCGTCACCCACTCATCCTTGCCTAAACGTAAATCATCGCCTAAACGCTCGACGAGTGGCGAGCCGCTTCTCTCCAATATTCTAATTATCGTCCTCTTTCGATCTTCGATCGATGCACGAACCGAATCCTAAGTTGAGGTGGCGATGTCACGAAGCGAAGCTTTCTTTTTCTTTGAGATCGACGTTGAGATCGAAATCGATGCGTGATTTCGAGAAATTCGGAGAGTGCAAAGCGTCGATCGATGCACCGAATCTGAAGATTCTCAGAAGTTGAGGTGGCGATGTCACGAAGCGAAGCTTTCTTTGAGATCGACGTTGAGATCGAAATCGATGCGCCACCAGTGATTTCGAGAAATTCGGAGAGTGCAAAGCGTCGATCGATACACGAACCGAATCAGAAGTTGAGATGACGATGCTTTCTTTCTTTTTCTTTGAGATCGACGTTGAGATCGAAATCGATGCGCCACCAGTGATTTCGAGAAATTCGAAGAGTGCAAAGCGTCGATCGATGCACAAACCGAATCTGAGATCCTCAGAAGTTGAGGTGGCGATGCTTTCTTTCTTTTTCTTTGAGATCGACGTTGAGATCGAAATCGATGCGTCAGTGATTTCGAAAAATTCAGAGAGTGCAAAGCGTCGATCGATGCACCGAATCTGAAGATCCTCAGAAGTTGAGGTGGCGATGTCACGAAGCGAAGCGAAGCTCTCTTTCTTTTTCTTTGAGATCGAAATCGATGCGCCAGTGAAAAATTCGAAGAGTGCAAAGCGTCGATCGATGCACCGAATCTGAAGATCCTCAGAAGTTGAGATGGCGATGTCACGAAGCGAAGTGAAGCGAAGCTCTCTTTCTTTTTCTTTGAGATCGACGTTGAGATCGAAATCGATGCGTGATTTCGAGAAATTCGGAGAGTGCAAAGCGAGGGTAAAGGGGTTGTCGTGCTATTCGACTGCTGATAATTTCGATGGTTGATAAAGTTTGGAGATTGGGAAGATGAAAGATCAAGTCAAGTTTTCGAATTCCTCTTTTTCGATAATTCGATTCTGAGTGAATGGATGAGGTTCGATGTATTCACTTTTGATCGAACAGAAACACGCTGGAAAATTTTGCAACGCGAAGAAAAGGGAAACGTGTCATTCTTGATTATCGATAGTATTTATATTGATCGATAAGTTTTTAATCGAAAGATCGTGAAGTCATCAGCCAAGTTTTTCTGATCTCCTCTTTTTCCTGCGATAATTCAATAGCCGTGGATCCAATGTAATCAGTTTTGATTTCGCAAGATGGCGGAAAATGGAATGCGAAGAAAAATGGAATTCTCGTTTATGATCAAAAACTATCGATTCTTTTCTCATTAATATCGATAAAATGTGAATCGAAAGATCTCAAAAATCGGTCAAACTCCCGATTTTCTTTTTTCCATTTCGCTCATATATAATTCAACTCTCGTGAGTCGAATCTAATGTAATCAGTTTTGATTTCGAAAGATGGCAAAGAAAAAGGAGAACATTGTGTTCATTCTCGATCTCGTCAAAAATCGGTCAACCTCCCGATTTTCTTTTTTCCATTTCGCTCATATATAATTCAACTCTCGTGAGTCGAGTCTAATGTAATCAGTTTTGATTTCGAAAGATGGCGAAGAAAAAGAAGAACATTGTGTTCATTCTCGATCTCATCAAAGATCGGTCAAGTTTCCGATTTTCTCTTTTTCGCGATAATTCAACTCTCAAGTTCAATATAATCAGTTTTGATTTCGAAAAATGGCGAAGAAGAAGGAGAACATTGTGTTCATTCTCGATCTCGTCAAAAATCGGTTAATCTCCCGATTTTCTTTTTTCCATTTCGCTCATATATAA